CACACTGCTCACCCCTCCCCCACCCCACCTCTCACATTGCTCACCCCTCCCCCACCTCACCTGTCAGGAGCTGCTCACCCCTCCCCCACCCCACCTCTCACGCTGCTCACCCCTTCCACCCAGCTTCCAGCCCAGACACCAACAAGACAGTCCCCTTGAAAGCCACAGTGGCCGTCATCATCTAAGTCCAAGGTACATTTTACAGCCAGCACCTACTGACTTCCCAGCAGCAGGTGGCCCTTCCTCCTCCCTACACATTTTCTTCTCTTAGCTTCTGCAAAACATCTGCTCCCTTCCAGCCACTCTTCTGTCCCCACTGCCCCATGAATGTGGGAGTTCTTCATCCCTCAGTCTCCCGTTCTCTCTTCCTTAAAACCTGCCCACATGCAGATGATTGGCGAATTTACAGACAGACCAGCCAGGCAGTTCACTGGAGCTCTGGGTCTGTAATTCACTTCCCACCTGCTGCTTCCTCTTGAATGACTCAACCACAACAGGCACAGAACTGAATTTCATGATCTTCTAGTGCTATTCGAACTCTGTAAAGAATGGTTCATTCCCCCAATCCAATCTATCGCCAAGCCCTGCAGTGTTACCTGTATCTCCCAAATCGCCCTCAGCTGCCATCGCCCAGGTCCAAACTGTAGTCATCTCTCTGAGGCTGCTGCAATAGTTTTCTATCTGTCCAATCCACTGTTCTCTAGACAGCTGCCAGAATAATCTTTCTGAAGTACAAATCTCACCCTTCTCGCTGGATAAAATCATCAGCCTCTTGCTGTTCCTGAGGACAGAGACAGAATCCTGGCAAGTCTCACTGAGGCCCTGCCTGGCTCTTTCCCGCCCCTCTCTGTGTCTCTCTTTCCCTCCAGCACGACCACTCTGGCCTTCTGCTTCCCTGTGTACACCCCTCTGTCTCCCACTCCCACCCAGGTCCTTTTCGCCGCTCCTCCCCTTGCTGAGATGCTCTCCACAGCCAACTGCTCATCCTTCAGACAGAAGTCAAGCCCCAGTTCTCTGAGGAACCCTGTCTCGACCCAGCCCAGTCTGTGCGCCTGTGATCTGTTCTCCCAGGACCAGGTGCCTCTTCATCAAGTTTTAGTTTGGCATTTATCTGTGTTTCCCTCTAGACCAGTGGTTCTCAGCCTTCCTAATGCTGTAGCCCTTTAATAGAGTTCCTGTGGGTTGTGACCCACAAGTTAAGAACCTCTGCTGTAGACCATAGTGAGGTCTGTAACGCGAGGTCTCAGGCTCCAGGGCTCAGCATTCCATCCCTGACACCTGCTACAGAAGCAAGGCTCTCATAAGTGCCTGTTTGAATAATCTTCTTCAGCAGCTGAGGTTAAGCACTTTTCTGTTTAATGTCTTTGAAATTCTGCCTCTATTGTCTAGTTCCATCGAAGATGCCTCTTCCAGTTCTATCTGAACTGCCCAGCGACAGTTCTGCAGGCTGCATCCCACCTCTAGCTCCTCCCCAGGTCAGCCCCTCCACAAAGCTAAGAGGATGCTGGGCCGAGTCCCATGAGCAGTCCAGAGGGCTACAGGAAAGGGGAGGCACAAGAGACTTCGAGGAAAGGGAAGCTGAAGAGCACCCTCTGGGGCACCGGGCGTGGGGACGAGAGCCCAGGAGGACGTACAGGTCACCTTAGCACCTGAACAGCTATGATGCTCAAACGTCAGCAGCTGAGTTCTTGGTAGCTCAGGATGGGAGTTTCTGGGTGGCAGACTCCTTCCAATAAAAGGAAGAGCATTCTAACAATTAGAAGCTCAATGTGGCTGCTACCCAAGTGGATTCTTTTCATCTGGTGAAATGAATATCACAAAAAAACACTTTTGACTAATGAACACCCTGAGTAAAGATGAATATTTGAAGCAGGTAAGTAGGGATACGGGGGCTCACTGCCCTCCAGGAGCCACAGCCCTCTGGTTGTGTGGCCAAGTGGAGCTCCCTGGCGGCCACTGTATGGGCACATGCCGTGGAGCCCAGTGGAGGGCAGGACCTCCTACCTTTTCTATTTTTGTTAATTCAGCTAATAACTACCATTCTCCATGAAAATCTGTTGCTTGGATGCTATGGGTTGAATGTTTGCATCCCTTCCAAAACTCAGGTTAAAACTTAATTGGGCAATAGTATTAAGAGGTGGGGCCTCTAGGAGATGATGAGGCCAGGATGGCTCTGCCCTCATGCATGGGATTCGCACCTGTTACAGGGTCTGTAGGGCACTAACTGGCCCTCTGCCCATCCACCCCTTCTATCATGTTAGGACACATCTTGGAAGCAGAGAACAGGCCCTCACCAAGTACTGAGCCTGCTGTGACTTTGACCTTGGACTTTCTGCCCTCCAGAACTGGGAGAAATAGTTTCTGTTGTCTATAAATTACCTAGTCTCAGCTATTTTTTTTAATAGCAACAGAAACAAATGAAGACATTAGCATTTATAGAGATTTTGGTCTTTTGAATAATTCCTGGGGTATATTTACCTATTGCCTTAACTTAATTCTGAGTTCCTTATAGCAGAAATCTTTGTTTTCCTCCTTTGGAATTGCTTATAAGACCAAGCACAATACAGGGTGATTGAAAAAAGAAAAGAAAAATGCAAAACCAAACCTTTCTGATAGGAAAGGTTAACACAACTACCTCAGGTTTGACTCATAAAACCCCTCACATAAGATCAGAAAACACGGCAGAGTGAGGCAACAGCCCCTCCCGCACCTGCCTCCCTCTGCCCAGCCCCGGGCCTCCCACTCTGACCCTCCAGGTCCCAAACACAACGTGCACCTGCCTGGCACACTCTCCTCAAGAGGAAAGCCAGAGTCTCCCCAATGAAGCAATCTCAAGGGATTAACTGCTTTTGATAAGAAAGCTGGAATCTCCAGGGAGCAGCTCACTCACATGCTGAGGTTGTAATTCCTGTCTCTTCTTTAGTGGTTACAAATGGGTCTGTGGCTAATGTAGGGATCTCAAAATAATTTTTGTGTAGGCCACTGTATAGTGTGTCACTTAACACCAGTGACACATTCTGAGAAACTTGTCCTTAGGTGATCCGGTCTTTATGCAAACATCCCAGCTGCACTCACACAGCCAGACGGACCGTCCTGCTGTGCCCCCAGGTACGTGGTGTGGCCACTGCTCCTATCTACAAACCGTATAGCCTGTCACTGTGATGGACACTGTGGGCCTCTCTGACACAAAGCTAAGTATTTTTGTATCTGGACATATCTAAGCACAGAAAAGGCGCAGTAAAAACACAGTAACATGGTCTTGTGGGGCCTCGATCACGTGTGCAGGTCTGTGTGACTGACACATCGCCAGGCAGCAGGGCTGTGTGCTCGTCCAGAGGGAGGATTTCCCAATTACAAACGGAAGAAGTATGTGCTGAATTTGCCTTATGAGGAATGGCCTCGAGATGGGTAAATCTGGGCAAAAACAAAGTGCTAGCAGACAAATACACGCAAAGGGCTTTCCAAAGACGCCCACAGCACCTGGCTGCTCTCCCATACTTTTAGATTAATTTCCATTCAATGTACTCCTGTTCTGAGAAGCTAGAGCATCTGACTTCTCAAGCAAAATCACACTTGTACCCTTAAATTCTGATCTATAACATCAGGTATAAACATGCTGTAAATCTGAAGTTTTTGCTACTGATGTTACATGTCAAGATACCTACATGTTCACTGAGCACAGCATATAGTGCACTACGTGTTCTGGGAGTGATCACAGTGCTGCCACATCCTAAACTACCAGGGGGTCTTCTTGAGCATTTTCAGATCTCCTGAAGTTTGATGGTGAGAGACCCTGACAGAACAGAGAAGCACAGAAATCAGGACGACCTGATGCTCATCCTGGCTCTGTCACTAACAAACTGACAGATGTACGTTATTTCTCTTGGTCCTCAGTTTCTCCACTTGTAAAATTTAGGAGTGAACATTTGTATTTGAAGGGGAAGTTTATCACACTCTGCAAAGTGGATGCACTGGGCTGGAGGCACTGCCTGGGCTGCTCCGACCCCTGCCAGGCTGGATGCATTGCCCGTGCTGCCCCGATCCCCTCCTGGCCGGATGCACTGCCCACACTGCCTTGACCCCTGCCCGGCCGGAGGCACTGCCTGTGCTGTCCAACCCTGCCTGGAGCTTCAAGACAGTGCTCTTTACGGGCGGTGGCTCTGACAGGTCCTTCCCTCTCACTCACTTGCTCTAGCATCGCATCACCCCCTATCCAAACAAGTCAACTCAAAGCATCTTAGCAGGTCATCTAATCACTAAATCATAGGTCTCAGCTACTCTGCTGGATAGGAAAGTACCACAGTTAACCTCTGCTTTGTTTACATTTTTATCAACCAAAAGAACACATTCTTCTGTATCTCTCAAAACTCCCTAATTTTAATCTCTAAAAATATTTCAGGCAATGACATTCTCTGCTACATCAGGTGCAAAATATCAAAATTAAGCAGAGTTTGGCAATGATTTCTTAGATATAACACTAAAAAGCACAGGCAGCCGAAGCAAAAACAGACAAATGGAACTACATCAAATCTAAAAACTTTTTTGTGTATCAAAATATCTACATAGTAAAAGGCAATCTACAGAATTGGAGAAAATATTTGCAAATCATATATCTGTTAATGGATTAATATCCAGAATATGTATAGCATAACTATAACTCAGCACAACAAAAAACAAAATTAAAAGGCTCCAATTAAAAATGGGAAAAGAATTGAAACAGACATCTCTCCAAAGATGCCATGCAAATGACCTGCAAGCATGTGAAAAAACTCCCATCATAAATCATCAGAAAAATGCAAATCAAGGCCACAATCATACCATCCAACACCCATGAGAGAGGCTGCTATTCAAGAAACAGAAGCTAGTAAGTGTTACAGGACATGGGGAAAGTGGACCGCCTGTGCTGTGTTGGATGGGTCGTAAAGCTCGATAGAAAACAGTGTGGCGTTTCCTCAAAAAACTGAAAATAAAATTGCCATACATGATACAGCAATCCCACTTCTAGAGGCATTTTCAGAAGAACTGAAATCAGGGTCTCAAGGAGACATTTGGAACCAGCATTCACCACAGCAGATGGCAACTCAAATGTCCACAGTAGGAAGACAGATGGACAAAACTCAACAGGTGCACACACAGGATGGAATCCTGCTTCCGTCAGAGACGAGCAGGGCTGACCCCAAGGACATGACGCCAAGTGAAATACGCTGCCCACCAGAGGCAGGCACAGGTACCTAAGGGTAGCCATCACTACGGACGGAACTGTGTCCCCTCAACATCCGTATGTTGAAGCTCTAACCCCAAGGGGCCTGTATTTGGAGGTAGGGCCTTTAAGGAGGTCACATTATGATCCAATGAAGTTGTAAGTTCTGATCTGGCAGGACTGTTATCCGCATCAGAGAAGAAAGAGACCTGAGACATCCCCCTGCATCCTTCCACGTGAGCAAGAGGACAGGCTGGGGAGAAGAGACCTCACCAGAGAGCCACCCAGACCTGGACTTCCGCCTCCAGGAATGCGAGGAAGTGAAGGTCTTGTTTCAGGCACTGGCCTGTGGTATTCTGCTGGGGCAGCTCTGCTGACAATCAACAGTAAACTCACAGAGACAGAAAGCAGAATGGTGATGACCAGGGCCGGGCAGGGGGAAGCAGGCTGCTGTGGGACAGCCATGGGTTTCACAGCTGCAGGATGACCAGCTTCACAACAGATCACCTCACTAAATTTCACAACGGTGCCAATCTACATAACACCTCTGAACTGTACACTTCAAAAGACCAAGATGGCAAATTTTGAAGGTTTTTTTTGAGACAGTCTTCCTATGTTGCCCTCAGTAGAGTGCTGTGGCATCACAGCTCACAGCAACCTCACGCTCTTGGGCTTAAGCGATTCTCTTGCCTCAGCCTCTTGAGTAGCAGGGACTACAGGCACCTGCCACAACAGCCAACTATTTTTATGTTGTGGTTGTCACTGCTGTTTGGCAGGTCTGGGCCGGGTTCAAATCTAACAGTGTTGGTATATGTGGCCAGAGCCCAAGCTTTTTTGGGTTTTTTGTTTGTTTGTTTGTTTGTTTTTTGAGACAGAGTCCCACTATGTTGCCCTCTGGTAGAGTGCTGTGGCATCACAGCTCACAGCAATCTTCAACTCTTGAGCTCAAGCGATTCTCTTGCATCAGCCTCCGTAGTAGCTGAGACTATAGGCACCTGCCACAAAGCCCAGCTATTTTTTGGTTGCAGTTGCCATTGTTATTTAGATGGCCCAGGCTGGGCTAGAACCCACCAGCCTTGGTGTATGTGGCTGGCACTGTAACCACTGTGCTATGGGCACCAAGCCAGGTTTTTTTTAACCACAATAAAAACATTAAGCAGGGTTTCAATTCCCCTGCTGAAATAAAGGAGAAAAAAAAAAGGTTAGGACACACTACTAATAAAATGATTCATGTTATTTCATGTATATGAAAATTATATGGGTATGGTTTATATGTTTTTTATTTTATTGGGAAAAAAATAATAATGACCATTTTAAGCAGAAACACATCTATTTTAAAAGAATATTCAGCAATATGTAGCCAAAGAAAGAGACCAAATTAGTTTATAAAATTCAGTTTCCATAGCCTACTAAAGCTAGTCTAAACACACGTTTCATTGACGTTTCTCCCTCAACGTATTTTACAAGAAACACTGCTGTTAGTAGTAGAATATACAACAGTTCTCAGCTCAAATTCTTTACTTTCCTAAACCAGATATTTTACCCTTTCAAAAAGGTGGGAAGAACCCACTACCAATTCTAGGATTCACGTAGCTGGAACAGTGAAGAGAATTCAATTTATCTTGAACAACAAAAAACCTTATTTACACTTAATGATTACATTCTCCTAAGTTTTTTTCTCTTAAAAATACGAAAACAAGCAACTTGATGCCTATGAAATTTTTTATCACTGTTTAATAAAAACAAATGTGTTCTTCATGCTTCCTTTGTAAAAAAAAGAAAGAAGTATAATAAACATTTATATTTGCTGCTTATTCTGTTTATCCTAACACAGCTACCATGTGGGATTACAGGAATTTGGCTCATGCCATAGTAACATTTCTCTTATTTGCTGGCCTAAATACGATCTCAAGAAAACCGTAGGCTATACCCCTAGGGGGAGAAGGCAGACACAGCTTGATTTAAGAAAACAGAGTTGGAGCCTCAACTTTAACACCGCCTGCATTTGGGCCTTTCCTACGCCGTGGGGGATGTTTAAAGGTTCCCCTATTTACCAGCTGCCTGTAGTTCCCCAAGTTGTTAACAACCAAAAACGTCTCCTGATAGTGCCAAATGCCCCTCTAGTGTGAGGCCACAGATGAACTGATGAATTGGTAGAATTAAACGACACAAGTTAATATAGAGTCTAAAGTCCAAAAGTTCATGTTTAGCGTCTAAATGTTGATACAAAAACTAAAGATTTTGACATATAGGGTAACTTACGAATATAAAATGTAGAGCAGTACAAAACCACCCGGCAATGTGTGGAGTGCTGGATGGAGCTGGGGTGGGAGGGGTTGTTGATGAAAAACAACCCACTTAAAAATGTTGGGAGAGCTGTGTGTCAGTTGCTAGAAAGAAGTAACATTCTAAAAATACTGCACGCCACTCTCCTGTGTGTGTGCTCAAGGATGAAACCGCAGTGTCATCTGCTCGCTTCTGGTTTTAGACCACCACCTGGCAAGCCACCCTCCACTAGAAAACATTCCAGCCAGTGGGACGAAAATAGTGCACACACCAACCCATGTGCAAAAATATGCCAGGCAGCCTACAGTTAGTTCAGTCATGCCCCAAAAGAAAGACACTACTATCCTTAAGGACAAAGGTAAATAACCCACAGGAGTACTCAATCCCCCCACCGTGGGGGACACACAGTGGACGGCCAGCAGGAGGGAACACACAGCAAAGGAGGGTGAACACAGCAGGCAAACCGGAATAATCACTCATTTCTGAGATGTCAACCTGTCCTAAAGCAGCGGTTCTCAACCTGTGGCTCGCGACCCCTTTGGGGGTCTCCTGCATATCAGATATTTACATTAGGACTCATAACAGTAGCAAAATTACAGTTATGAAGTGGCAACAAAAATAATTTTATGGTCACCACAACATGAGGAACTGTATTAAAAGGTCATGGCATTAGGAAGGTTGAAACCACTGATCTAAAGACAACTAACTGGGTTTAAAAAAAAAAAAAAAGGAGCCTACCGATCACACACAGCAGAGCACAGCTGAGTCACAGGGCTTTGTTAAGAACAGGAGAAATAGTGGGGCAGGCACATCAGCTCTTAGTAACACTCCTCAAGAAAGGTGGTGTAAAATAACCACCCTATATAGAATGTGTGCAAGATTCATCACTGCAACAGGATCTACAACCACATTCTTCCTCTTAACACCCAAAAGTTGTCACAGAGGGACTAGCATCTCCAGAAGGGTGACCTTGGAGTTCTCTCTCATACCACCCGTAAAGCTGGGCTGTGTGAACAAGAACTGGAGCTGCCAACAGATATGCAGCTTATCACACACAGAGATGAGCAGAGATCAGGTCCTGCCTGCACAGACACCAACTGTGTACTTCTCCAGCTAAGCAAGGCACACATGGTCCTGGCTCGTATGGAGTTTACACCCCAGGGCAGGGTGGTGTCTGAAATCTTAGAAAACCAAACATAAGGAGAAAATCCTAAAGGCTTTCAGGGACAGAACAGGTATAAGACATTTCAGATATTTAAGGATTGACTACAGTCCAGGTTAAAAGAACTATAAAAGGGGGCGGCGCCTGTGCCTCAAAGGAGTAGGGCTCCAGCCTCATATGCCGGAGGTGGCAGGTTCAAATTCAGCCCCAGCCAAAAACTGCAAAAAAAAGAACTATAAAAAGATATACCTCATCAAATTAAAAAATGAATCAGAACATTGAACGAAAAAAACAAATTGCAAAAAGATAGAGTACTTTGTGTAATACTACTTATAAATATTTTTAAAACATATCAAAAATATACTGTATTTCTAAGAAAATGCTTATATAATAAAAATATGAAAACACTCATGGTGATAATAGCTGAGAGTAAGAGGCTTCGCCTTGGTACTTCTTTAAGAGGAAGCAACCCCACAGTCAGAACCCCAGAGGGTCTGGACACAGGGCAGGGAGGGAGGGGAAGAAGCCAGGCCAAGCCCCATGTCTCCCCCTCCTCTCGTGAAGAGTAGGATGCTAATTACATCTAGATAGTGATAGTTGCAATTTACAGGTGTGTATTAACAAGATCCACACCTAAGAGATAATGACGCAGGGCAGATGAAAAACCAGAAGATACAAGAAATCAACCATTTTTTAAAAAGCAAATATAGCAATATTAACATCAGGCAAAGTAGAATGAAAGAAAAAATAGCATCAAATAGAAGAACAAAATCTCCTATGGAATATGAAAGTCAAGTCGTCGTGCCACACACCTTTATGCTTTAATATCCAATGCACATACGGACACCAAAGCAAGCCAGAAGAATATCACTTCCATAAGCATATGTAAAACTTAACACAGCTTTCACAGTGATCCACACTTAAAATAAACAGAAAAGATGAACATAAAGGGTTTTAATAAACGACTGTGCAAATCTAACCCCGGTACATGAAGGTAAACACACGCACAACATCATCAGGGAATGCAAGCAATGAACGGTTTAACACTGACCATGTATAAGGACATCCAAAGCAGAAGCCTTCAGGAAACCTCAGCAGCGACCCCACGAGCATGTCATCTGACCATGTGAAACGCAAGGACGGGATTTCTAGAGGTGCAATTGTTGAGTCAAAGGGCAAGGGCATTTAAATTTTGATGGATAATATCAAGTAGTCTTGTAAAAAGTCCTTGTGAATTTGTACTGCTTCAGAAGTTAACACGAATGCCAGTTTCCTCCCACTGTCGCCCAACTGCCATTTAGATTTCTGCCTGTCTGATATCAGTCGAGAGGAAACGGGTTCTCTCGGCCATTCATCAGTATGAATCATCTGTAATAATTCAATCTGTGTTTAAAGTGTACACAGGTCACTACAAAAGTTGTGAGGCAGACTGTGTAGGGTCCATCATTTGCCTTCCAGGAAACAGCCGACAGCGTCCCTTCTGATTCACCTGCTCAAGTCTGAACTCACCTGGCTGCTCCGTGCTGCTGGGCAGGCTTCACTGGTTTCCCGCCACACAGATTTTACATTTCTTGATTTTTGTGGACCTCAAAACTTTTCTACTGACCCACGTATCACTTAGCAGTACCATACCTAGAAGCATCAAATAGAGAAGTGGTACAGTGCCATTCAATCCATTAACTTCTTAACACTGGCGTGGCAACAAGCTGAGAAAGAACGTTTGTAAGGAGAAGACAAACCCCAACTCACTCTCTGTTGCTGCCTCTGACGCAGGGCTGGTAGAGGACCTTGACGGCGCTCCGCACAGAGCTGCAATCGGCCTGTGCTATGTCTTCCAACAGGGGGAATTTTTTGATCCATTTAGAACTTCTCAAAGATTCAATCACCAAACTGTCTGAGTTTAAAAGCCACAGCTGAAGATGTGGAAAGAAAGTCCGAGTGTAAGGATGCTGCCGCCCTGTCTGTATCTTATCAAAACTAAAAATAACCTCTAAAAATACCAGGGGGAAAAATAGGCAATCATGTATTTAATTTTTAAGTAGGATAGGCCTTTCAAAGAATAACATTTGGTAGAGCAACTGACATCATAAAGTTAAAAAAAAGCCGACTAGAAGAAAACACTTCCCACATTACGTCATCCTCCGTAATAATAACAAGAGTGCCTCGAAATCAGTGAGGGGGACACAGTGTAACAGAAATGCAGGCGGAGAGCAGGACAGAACCAACAGGAGAAATACACAGTCAACAGACACGAAATATCAACATAATTAGTAATAAGTGAGTAATAAACTTTCTGTGCCACCATTTTTCATTCGCCAGATTAGCAAATATAAAAGACCTGCTAACACCCAGTTCAGAGGAGGGCTTGAAATGGACGCTCCCATGTTCCTGACAGGAGGGCATTTTAAGGTTTGGGAGCGTGGGATTTAGGGAGGGATCCTCTCAGAAGAAAGGAGTGAAGGCAGTGGGGCGAGGCAGGGACGAGCTCGTGGACCAGACTCAGCTGGAGCAACCAGGGTGAATCCCACCTGCAGGGTGTGTGCCGCAGAGACAGGAGGCCCCTGCTTTCTGTGCCCAGGATGAAATCACTGACAATGGACTGACAATGGCAGGGGGACAGCGGGGCACAGGTAACTTCCTGGGCAAAACAGTATCTGCCGTGCAAGGGCCCGTCCCTGGACAGGAAGGCAGCTGAGGATGGTGAGCCATCCTGCATCTCTAAGAGATGAACCAGCACAACTGTTATGGGAGGTAATAATTATCCAAGTTTAAAATACACAAATTGTGGGCAGCACCTGTGGCTCAGTGAGTAGGGCACTAGCCCCATACACTGAGGGTGGTGGGTTCAAACCCAGCCTCGGCCAAACTGCAACAAAAAATAGCCGGGCATTGTGGCAGGCACCTGTAGTCCCAGCTACTCGGGAGGCTAAGACAAGAGAATTGCCTAAGCCCAAGAGCTGGAGGTTGCTGTGAGCTATGATGCCATGACCTTCTACCGAGGGCAACAAAGTGAGACTGTCTCTACAAAAATAAAATAATAAAATATACAAATTGTAACACTATGTTAGATGAGAGAGATCCATTTCTTTCTTTCTTTTTTTCTTTCTTTTTTTGCAAGGTCTCATTTTGTTGCCTTGACTAGAGTGCTGTGGCATCTTCAGAGCTCACAGCAACCTCACACTCTTGGGCTCAAGTGATCCTCCTGCCTCAGCCTCCCAAGCAACTGGGACTACAGGTGCCCACCACATCATCCATTAGTTTTTCTATTTTTAGTAGAGAAAGGGTCTCACTCTTGATCAGGCTGGTCTCAAACTCCTGAGCTCAAGTGATCCTCCCTTCTCGGCCTCCCAGAGTGCTAGGATTGTAGGTGTGAGCCACTGCACCCAGCCAGAAAGATCTATTTCTGAAGAAGTACTAAAATACCTGGGAAAAGTTATTTTCCTGGCAGCCTTGTCTGTAATGGCCGTAAAGTGGACTTCCCATCTTTAAACAGCCCATTGCTATTCACAGTGACCAGACATGACCCTCAGGTAGCACGTTATGTGAAGCAAGCACGTTGCAGAAAACTGATCACCTGCTACTAGTTTGTTTTTTTCTTTTTTTACAAACACCTGTGAATGTATGTATATACAGTTTTATATGGATAAAAAAATGCTCCTGTGCACGTATCAGGCTAACAGAGATGACTTCTGGAGCGTCTGACGTGTGAGGGCAGGAGAGGCACGGACAGGAGTCCCGGCTCCTCTACCGTCTTCATGTTGCCCAGACATGTTTCAAGAATGTATCACTTCCATAAAAAATAGGGTTTATTTCTTGATTTATTTTCTGCAGTTTTGGCTGGGGCCAGGTTCAACCCTACCACCCTTGGTCTTTGGGGCTGGCACCCTGCTCCTTGAGCCACAGGCGCCTCCCCCCAAAATAGGATTTTTTTTAAATGTAAGCATATGTCAGAAAGTTTTTAAAAGTTTCCACTTCTGATTTGAATTTGAAAACTTTACAATGAGAGAAAACTAAAACTAGGCCAGGTGTGGTGGCTCACATCTGTAGTGCCAACATGCTGGGAGGCAAAGCTCAGGAGTTCCAGACCACCTGAGCAAGAGCGAGACCCCCCATCTCTACAAAAAACAGACAGGTGTTGTGGCGTGCACCTGTAATCCCAGATGGTAGGGAGGCTGAGGCAGGAGGATCATTGGAACCTGGGTGTTTGAGGCTGCTGGGAGCTGAGATGACACCACTGCTCTCTAGCAGGGGTGACAAAGAGAGAGACTTGTCTGAAAAGAAAACTAGAACTGATTTCAGACTCTGATCATGAGGAGTCCATGCCAGTCAGAAGCCACCTCAGCTTTCCACAGACATCACCTGGGGGCAGAGAAGCTGGGGTGACTCATGGGGGCCAGCTGCCTGCAGAGCCAGGCCTCACACACAGCATTCTGTTTACGTCAAGCACCTAACACAGTACTTTCAAATAAAACAGGCTTAATATATGTTTTCTGGTTAAATAAAACAGGTGCAGGCAGAGAAGAGACAAGGCCATATTCTTGGATTTCCAAGTAAATGACCCAAATTAACTTCTGCAGAACACTGTTTTAGTAGAGGTTGTATAACATTAGATCCTCGTGATACCTGTGTGTGTGTGTGGGGGGGGGGTGCTGCCAGCCACAGAGCCCCTTTCTAGAACTTGCCACTGTTTCTCAAATATGAGAGTCAGAGGCAATTAAAAACAACAGAAGAATAGAACATATTTTAAACACAAGAATATTTAATAAGAAAAAGAAGTGGGACAGACAGAATGGTGTCACTGAAAAGCCATTAAGGGCGGCGTCTGTGGCTCAAAGGAATAGGGAGCCGGCCCCATACGCCAGAGGTGACGGGTTCAAACCCAGCACTGGCCAAAAACTGAAAAAAAAAAAAAGAAAGAAAGAAAGAAAGAAAAGCCATTAAAAACTGAGTGAAAATCCTCCTTTTGTGAGGCGAGCTACTTAGGAGCAAAGACCAGGTGTCCTCCTCTCTGAATTCCTGGTCCCTGGGACACAGAAGCGCTTGATCGTTTGTTATTAAATTAAGGGAGTTTAATTCACGCATTAAACTAATATTTATAAGTCCAATATTGATCAATTATTTTTTACACCTGAGAATTAAGAAAAAAGAATGAAGACAACTCAGAATGAAGACTTTCTGGGGCCTTGGATTTTTAGGCTACCAAAGTATGAAAGGATCAAATTTCTTACCAAGATGTACACTTTGCCATCCCGACCTTGAATAGTAAACCTAAATGTGCTTCTAGCAGAGAGTTCCACTAGACACCGGGCCACCGTGCTCTGGACGAACTCAGACCTGTGTGAACAGAAGGCTGCTTTCACAAAGTGTCTCTCACAGAAACCATCCTCCTGCCTCAGCCTCCCAAGTAACTGGGACCACAGGTGCCAGACTCTAACTGGCAAGACAAGCCCAAGATACCCCAGAGCACCTGACAGGGAGTGAGGTCAGGACCCAGACTTTTCTATTCCCCACACATTCTCTCACAACCTGTGCTAATATGGATTTTAGTATGTTGTAATATATCTACGTTTGTTCCATTCTTCTAAAACCGACTCTCCAATCATGAATACATACTCTATCCAAAAACGTGAACTATGGTAAAGACATACTATAGTTAACTTTGGTTTGCAAACTAAACAAGATTCAAGAAAAAGAAACACTAATGGATTTAGGGGCTAAGCCCACCTTTTGTTAATTCATACGGGTCCTTTGAAAGTGAGCCATGGTCCAAATTTTAAATAGGTCAAATTCAAACCAGAAATCATTCAAAACTCTACTGAGGATTAGGTTATAAGATCCTGGGTATCAGGCATGTAGAAAGAAGCACAAAGAAAACTTTCAAAATTAGATTTATATGAGTACATTTCTCTATACCATTACATAAGCAAAACATAAAGAAAGTAAATCTTAAACCTCTTATATATGTGGTTTGATTCAACTGTCTAAAAGCCTTTCTCAGCTGGGCATGGAGGCTCACACCTGTAATCCCAGGACCAAGGGTCACCATTGTGGGAGAAATGCTTGAGCCCAGAAGTCTAGGACTAGCCTAGGCAAGAGAGCAACATCCCATCTCCACAAAAAAATTAAAACTTAGACATAGTGGGATGCGCTGCAGTCCCTGCTACTCAGGAGGATGAGGTGGGAAGATGGTCATGAGCCCAGGACATGCCACTGCACTCCAGGCTGGGCAGCAGAGCAAGACCTTGTCTCTGAAAAAAGTACAAAATAAATTGTATTCGTATATATTCATTTCACCTTAAAAAATGAAAAGTGTATATTCATTTCACTTTAAAAAGTGTATATTCATTTCACTTTAAAAAATGAAAAGCCTTTTATTTAAAGACAGAATCTCACTTTGTCACCCTTGGTAGGGCACAATGGCGTCACAGCTCACAGCAACCTCAAACTCTAGGGCTTAAGCGATTCTCTTGCCTCAGCCTCCCAAGCAGCTGGGAGTACAGGCACCCACCACAACGCCCAGTTATTTTTTGTTGCATTTGTCATTGCTGTTTAGCAAGCCTGGGCCAGATTTGAACCCGCTAGTCTCGGTGTATGTGGCTGGCACCGTAACCACTGTGCTACAGGCATGGAGCCTGAAAAGCCTTTCTTAAAGGCCTTCTTTATTTATTCCTTTCCAAATTAGAATGGTATGAATAACTATGAATTCCTGAATGATCAATTGTACCTTCCTTTTCCTACATGTGAAATTATAAAATAAACTTAATTTGCTATTTGTACCTTGATATGATGGGAAAGCTTTTATCAGATGGCAGAATAATGATCTCTGTCATATAAAACTTAGTGGTTTCTAGGAAAAAAAGAGAAGAAAATTAAGACTCTCTGCAGATAATAATAATTTAATCACAGGCAATTCGGTTTCAGATTATGATGTTCCAAACTAAATATTCAATATACTGGTGAAATTAACACTCAGTAAGCACCTTCCCAAACCTCCCTGGATTTAAAAGACAAACTTCTTCAGATAAACATGTTTTTTCAGAAAACTGTTCAGAGCGAATCTGTTGTAGCAAGACTCTGCTCACAGATACAGAAGATTTTAAAAACGTTCAATCACAGCCCACATGTGCAGAAATCAGGCACTGAGTTTCTCATTTCTATAGAATAGCTACAAACCTGGAAGTTATTGAAAAAGGTTTTTTAATCATACTATCTCAAAGCCTGTGCACAGAAGCATGAATTCAAACATTAGTATTTGCAAAGAATCTCACCGACTCTACTAATGCACAACTCTCACCAAATTTATTTACTTGATTAGTTTACAAAACATTTTAAACAGTAGACTAGATATTTAATAAATATTAATGTAAACACAATCATCTTGGATTTAAAAAAGTATGAATAATATTTAATCTCACCAGCAATGAAGGAAATGCAAATCAACATGCAATTTTTTTTCTTAAGCATCAACAAAATATTTTTCAATGATGTGCACAGCGCTGGTATGCTCACTCACACATTGCTGTGATGAATGAAAAGGACAGACTTCTGGAAAGCCACTTGGCAAAGGCCTTAAAATTGCATGTTTAAATAACTAAGAATTTATCTCAAGAAATACTCATGCAAAATTGATCTATAAAGATGTTCATCATCATAATAGAAAAATGCAGAAAACAAATGACTAAAAATTGAGAATAAGTTAGATAAACAATGATATACTTAGGTAACAGAATTCCATGCATGTTTCAAATTTTAAATAGGTTAATTAAAACCAGAAATAATTAAAAATAGTGTTGTCAATAAAAGTGGTGCTGTCAAACCATTTTTAATAAGACAGAATGTTATTCTTGGTATGTTTTTAAAAGTTATTAATTACCCAATATAATACACAGAAAAGAGCAAAAACTAAAATCAGTAGACAGTTCAGTAGTTTATTCTATAGAGACAGCCATGCTGGCACATTCACTCCTGAAGCTGTCAATCTTTACATCACTATTTTGATGTCATATGAGATGCAGAATTGATTCCTTTTATCCTAGTTGTTAATACAGCTAATAATACCTATTTAATAGCACAGGTATTATATTCATCGCTTTATACAATTAACATTCATTTAGTGTCCTTTAAGAATTTACCATTTTCTTCACCAGTTCCTCTTAAACTTAACTCTTCTATCTGGAGTCATTTTCTTCTGAGCACAGGCCCTCCTGCCAGTGGCTCCCCCAGTGGCCAGAGAAGCAACTTCTGAGGGCTGCCGGGGTTCTGAGGGCTGCCAGGGTTCTGCAGGCTCCCGCAAGCTCCCGCAAGCTGGTGACCGTCTGGATCTGCTGGCTCCTCGTCCCTGCAGAGGTGGCGGAGATCCAGCAACCCCTTGGGAGCATCAGGGTCTGTCCTAAAGCCTGGGACACCCAAGTCTCCAACTGGGTGACCAGAGCCTACCACGGGCACAAAAGAAACTGTCGGCAGCTGGCTTTTTCACACAAGCATCCATCAATGATGGGGAGAGCCTTCGAGGTCTAGGATTTGAGACTATTATTTACAAAAGTACATTTAGTATCTTCATATTTAACTGATGACTTGTGTCTATCTAGAATTCTGGGCTGAAAGGACTTTCCCTTCAAATTATGACAGCCTTGCTTCATTGTCTGGTAGCTCTCAGCTCTGCTGTGAAGAGGTCTAATGCTATTTTATTCCTAATCTCCTGCATGCTAACCGCCTTTCGCCAGTCCTGGAAACTGGAAACTTCACTCATGGTATTCTGAAATTACTCAATAATGTGGCATGGAATGGCTCCCCTGCCAGCCCACCATTAACTGCACTGGTCACTGAATGGCCCCTTTCAGTCAGGAAACTGATGTCCTGGCTCTGAAAATAGTCTTGTAATAAATTTATGCTATTTTTATTCATTGGTTATTACCCAAACTCTGTTGTTTCTATTCTCTTTTTAGAATTTCTATGAGCTCAATGTTGGCTGTCCTGAAAGGCTCAATTTACTTATTCATTTAACAAATATTTACTGGGTGGTACTCACTACATGTCAGACGTTACTCTACGTGCTGAGGTAGCAGGAATAAACAAGACAGACCATGCCCCCACCTTCAGGAAACACACAATAATGATAGTATGTTTTTCATATTTCTTCTTTGATTTTTAATCTCCATCTTTTGGTTCTGATTTCTAGGACAATTCCTTAATTTTATCTTCTAGTTCTTTGGGTTTAATTTTTTTTAAGTGATTACTTTCTTTTGTAGAGACAGAGTCTCAGTCTGTTGCCCAGGCAGGAGTATGATGTCTCACTGTAATCTCAAACTCCTGGGCTTAAGTGATCCTTCTGCCTCAGCTTCCCTAGCAGCCAGGACTACAGGTGCATGTCACCGTACCCAGCTAACAATTTTTTTTTGTAGAAACCGGATCCTTCTCTGTTACCAAGGCTGGTCTTGAACTCCTGACCTCCAGCCATCCTCCCGCCTAAGCCTCCCGATCACTGGGATCACAGGCCTGAGCTGCTGCACCTGGCTGAAGCTATTCCATTCTTCATTCAATATGATTTCATTTCTCCAAGGATACTTTATGTTTCTTTAGTTTTCTTTTGCTCTCTACGTAATTTGTTTCTTCTCAGTGTTTTGAATCTAATTCTTGCAGTTTGGTTTTTTTGGGGTGGGGTGGGGCTGGGCTTGAACCCACCACACCTGGTACATGGGGCCGGCACCCTACTCCTTGAGCCACAGGCGCAGCCCATTGAATCCACTTCTTATTTATTTGCCTTGGTTTCTTTGACGGTGGAGATTTCCTCAAACATGTGCACTTGGTGATTCTCAGCCATCCATCCCGACTTAAGCATGTGCAATAAAGTGCTGGGCACAAACACACGGCCTGGTGACTACCGGGTGACTGAATACAAGCTCTTTTTTTATTGTAGAGATAGGGTCTCCCTCTGTTGTGTGGGCTGGAGTACAACGGCTATAATCAAAGGCATGATTACAGTGGACTGTGTCCTGAACTCCTAGTCTCAGGCCATCTTTGCCTCAACCTCTCAACAGCTGGGACCCCAAACAATCAGTTATCTACAAGTCTTTTCTCTGGTTGGTATTCTTCCATTATTCTCCCACCCTGAGGACTGCAGCAGCAAGCTAACAGTCAGAGAAGAAACCTGGGAGTCTAACAGCTCCATATACAAACTCTGAACCAATCCTGCCCATTTCCCTTTGTCTCAGTCAATGTATGTCTTTTATTCCTTAACTGACATTTTAACTGGACTTCAGGGAGGAGAAAAAGAATAAAGAAGTAAATTCACCTTATTTAACCATAAGCGTTAACATTATCTAAGACATGGCTTAAGGGGCTTCCTTCCTTCCCCAAAGTGGTGCTGAAGACGGACCCTTACTACCCCTCCCTCTGAGCAGGGGACTACTCGCAGGAATCTGTGTTTAAAAACAAATACCCCACCTGTTTTTCATTAAGTATAATAGCTTCACTTAAATTATACCACCTAATTAATTATATTAAAGCACTTATTCATCACCCACCAAGTGAACACAGCATGTGTAGCTCTCTAGACATTTTAGAGCACATCTTTTTTTTTACATTTTAGATTAACATGAGGGTACAAATGATTTGGTTACACTGTTTGCCTTTCTAAGGTACAGTTCGCGTTGTAGATGAGCCCTTCACCCAGTGGTGTGCTGTACATCCTACACCATGCCCACTAGGAAGTGAGAATCTTAATCCCCAAAATACGTTGCTATCAAAGATATGCTCTAAGTGACAGCTTGTTAATGTCTTTAGATAGAAATGTATCTTAAGTATTAGCATTTTCATTATTATATATATACATATATATATTTATATATATATATATATTTTTAAGACAGAGTCTCACTATGTCACCCTCAGTAGAGTGCTGTGGCATCACAGCTCACAGCAACCTCAAACTCTTGGGCTTAAACGATTCTCTTGCCTCAGCCTCCCAAGTAGCTGGGACTATAGGCGCCTACCACAATGCCTAGCTAATTTTTTGTTGCTGTTGTCGTTGTTTAGCCGAGTTCAAACCTGTCAGCCTCGGTGCATGTGGCTGGTGCCATAACCACTGTGCTACAGGTGCCAAGCCAATTCATTATTATATTTTAAAGGAGAATAGTATAGAGTTTATGGGAAGTATAATTAACACTAGTGGGAAAAAACTCAGAATGTGTTTTCTTCCATTTCAATAGGTCCTTTCCACTCTTAATCAGAAATACAACCAGAAGGCAGATGGCAGCCAGGAGATGGAACTTTTCCACCTCTGGACACTGACTCTTCTGATTGAGGAGGTGTGTTTAAAAAGTGTCCAACAGAGCAGCACCTGTGGCTCAAAAGGGTAGGGCGCCAGCCCCATATGCCGGAATTGGCGGGTTCAAACCCAGCCCCAGCCAAAAAAATAAAAAGCGTCCACCCTTCTTAAGATAGACCCAAGGTACAAGTTCATGTTTTTGCTTTATATCTAAATACAAAGAAGTTACAAAATATGGAAAATGATCCAGCTTCTTAACACTTAAAACTCAATACTCTGCACTTATAAAGGTCAAAATACACAAACTTCTTGGCATATCAGGCAATATGTTAATTGGTTTCTATTTTGAAAAGCATGAATTCTAAGACATATATTAATCAGCTATCTTTCCTATACAGTTAGCATAAAATCTCCTTCAGGACTTTAAACGAGCAGGCATCACTTGGCTTTTTGTTATGAAATTCTTACCTGATGACACGGTCTCTCCCAAGATTACCTTGCAACGCTTACAAATTACTTTGGTATTTGCCTTTGGCTCCTGCAGAACAGAAAAAATGTCATTTAAATGTCATTTAGCTTTTCTTAAAGGAATATATAATTTTAACATAGTCCCTAGAGTATACATTGAACTTTACATTTTATTCTGCCCTCTACTAAATGCTGGGAATACATTTAGCTTGTGAACATAATTCACACGCACACAGATAATTCTTTTCGAATCTTAAAATACAGTAACACGCCAACCGACTTTTCCAAACCTAGCCACTTTTTAATGAGCCAAATGTTGCCAAATAATCTGAAGAAGTAGCACTTTAGATTTCTAAAAGGCAACTCTTCTTATAATTTAGAAGAGGCATGTGGTGAGCAAGAAAGGCAGAGCGGGCTGATGACTGCTCCAGCTCCCGTGTGTAAAATTACTGAACAATCGCAACTTGGACTCATTTACTTTGACTCCTATTCCAGTGTAACTTTTGTGAACATAACCCATAACTCATAACCACCCATAACTGAAAAGTAAAAAATGCTGAACCTGTTTATATGATGCTATTTTTTTCCATTTAAGATATGCACTATAATTAGTAAGATGAACAGAGTTCTGGGATAAATTCTTGAAACATTCTTAAACTTCAAAAATCCAAATTCATTACCTGGCATACAATTTGAAATCTCAGCATTGACCTAATCATTAAACCAAGAATGGTCCTTTGCACACCCAGTCACACCTTTGTAGAAGCCGTGGGACACCTCTCTCACCCAGCTGTGGGACACTCTTCACCCAGCCGTGGGACACTCCTCTCACCCAGCTGTGGGACACCCTTCATCTAGCTGTGGGACACCCCTCTCACTCAGGTACACACACGGCAGAAGTGATGTAAAAACCTATTTACTTCAGCTAGAGGTCAAAAAGTCACAAGCAACTACACAAATTATATATTGGGGTCTTTGCCTATGATTGATTTGTTGCCTACCACAAATCCATGCTGCTGGTAAAAATCCATAAATGCCCCACAGCCGCTCTCTATACGAAGGACTCCTGAGATGAATCTGTTCACATTACTGAAATCTCTAGTAATATCAATACTTATCCCATTTCCCTAGTCAGGCTGCATATTTAAACAGACTCTCCACTCTGTCTCTGAAGTCTCTGAGGAAACACACACACACACACACACACACACACACACAGAGCCTCGTGAGTCCCTTCAGCTCTGGCTCAAACACCACTGGGCACACTCACGATGCAGGCGCACCATGGGCTGTCTCTGGGCTCTGCACTGACATCCTCACATCTGCACATCATAAACAGCAGGTCTCAGATCCTGGACCAGACAGGTGCCTGGATGGGGTCACTGACATCAAAAGTAATTAAAAAAAAAATACAGAAACCTATGAACATGCGCATTTGTTTATGTACAGCACTGGGGACCAGCCCCAGACTACACGTGGAGTTCTTTCCCAGTGACTGGCGGAGATGAGAGGATGAGGGAAAATTGAAGAGTTAAGACACAAAAGCAAGTTTTAAGAAGCCAGTGGGGGAGCGGTCCTGTCCATCTCCAAGTGTGAGGACTGGTGGACACCCAGAGCTCTGGGCCAGCTCTGCTTTACTACACACATCACTGTTGTAATCACCAGTCTAATGGGGGAGGCTAAACCCTCACGGCATGGTTCTTGCTGGGCTTGCATTTTCTAATCAAACTATTTCCCTAACTAACTGTTAATTAAACTGATTTATTTCTTACTTTTATCACTCTAAGTTATTAATGATCTTAATACAAACAGAGCATGGACATGGAACACAGCTCAGGAACAGGGTGTCAAAGCAGATCCCAGTCAGACCAGGCACATGAATCTCAGGAGTGGCGATTAAAGCCCCGGGAAGCCTTGTGCTCAGACCAGCTGGCGCTGCTGCCAATGCCCAGATGACAGAAAAAAGGAGATATTTCCCCCCTTATCTTCCTAAGAGACTTTTTCTCTCTTAACAAGGTTTAGGTGCCCACCCTGTCTCCAATGCATTCTGCATTCCCTGGCTAACTCCCCAAATGCACTCACTGTCCCTGAAAGGGCAGCCCCGCCCGCGGCCAGCCTTGTCTCTCAGTGCTCAGTGACCTCTCAGCTGAGTCACACCAGGGAGGAGTGAAGCTCCAGCAGGACAGTTTGCTTCAAAACACCAGGCTTCAGGCTGTCCCTCTGCAACAGATTTGGGGTTTCTCTGACCCACTTCTCTTCTCTGTTCCCCTTTGCCCATCATCTGAAATCATTTTCTTTTCTTTTTTTTTTTTTTAGACAGAGCCTCAAGCTGTCCCC